GACTTCGCCTACTACACACATATAAATTAGATTATATCGGAACATCCATTGTTTCCTTTATAGCCCAAATCAACGGCACACTACGTCCAATAATTGGCAGTGTGCCGTACGATTCCCGGGAGAAAATATATTACTATTTTCATCGAACCCACAGTGAATTCTCATTAATGAAAATAGGTTAGTTATTTAGTTATATTCAAACAGTCCTGTTTATTATTTTGTCTGTTTGTCTGTCCTACTTTCACGCCAAAACTACGAAAATAATTTAAATGCAATTTTGTACATAGATAGTCCTAACCCTGAGAAAGGACATAGGCTACTTTTAATGTGAAAAAAAGGGTTGTAAAGGGTTGAAAGGGGAGATGTATAGAAATATCGTCATTTTTTTAACTTAATTTTCAGGCTAATGATAAAATATGACATTCATAGTGTCTATAAATGTTAACGTTACCCCTTAATGGGGAAAAAAAATTAAAGTTTGCACCCAATTAACTATATTAATTATGACAAACCTTCCAGTGACAGAAACACTCATAACAAAATTAAACTGAGATATCGTGGTATGCACGCCCGCTGGCAGCGTTGTATTCAAATGTAGCGAAATGTTGTTATATTATATTATACATCTTATATATAAAATTCTCGTGTCACAGTTTTCGTTCCCATACTCCTTCGAAACGGCTTGACCGATTCTCATGAAATTTTGAGAGCGTATTGAGAATCGGCCAACATCTATTTTTCATCTCCCTAAATGTTAGGGGTAGTCCACCCCTAAATTTTTATTTTTTATTTTAAGGCAAAACAACGTTTGCCGGAACAGCTAGTAGATTTATATAATTTGCAATACTTTATATCGTTTCCGTAATTGGACCGCCTCAAATACGACATAAATAGCGGTCCCCGTACACATCGAGTACGTAATTCTGTCCGTAACCCATATTCACTAACTAATAAGGTAAAGTGTCGGGCTCACAGAATAAATGTGTGCAGCTGCCGACTTGACAACCCTGCCAGGGTTGTCAATCACAAAACATTTTGCCTCATATAAAGAAATCATAAATGTATACTTATTCATTTCCTATTATTTTTTGTTTACCCCTAAATATGTGTACTAGCTGTTCCCGCGACTTCGTCCGCGTGGAATTTAACTTTAATTTTCTAAAATAAAAGTACATTAAGTTACTCCTTATTACATCAGCTACCTGCCAATAAAAGTCCCGTCAGCCATTTTGGAGATTAGCCAGAACAAACAGACAGACAAAAATTGTAAAAAAAATTATTTTGGTGTATGTATCGTATTTATATTCATATGCATGTAGTAAAAAACGATTATTTCAATCTTACAAACAGACTCTCCAATTTTATTTATATGTATAGATTACAGTTTATTTGCTTTTGTTCAGCAGTGGACGTCTTCCAGGCCGAAATGATGATGGTGACAGTTTATTTAGTGTAGTATAAGCATTGTAATTTATTTAACTTATATCAGTTTTACATTCAGTTTTGGGCCTGGTGATCTGTATTTCAGGTTACCTATTTATGCATTGTTTTATCAAAAATATTATCCATGTTTGTAAGAAGAAAGAAAGAAAAAATTATATTATTATAAAACTGTAGCGGCTATAATGAGGCCACTATTAATTACTATGTGTTCCTTTGAAGCAGCGGGAAAATGGAAGGAAAGTCAGTTGTAAATATTTACATGTTTTTTTTCCTTTTTCCTTACGTATTATACCACGCATGCATGTTAGCTGTAATACGTGTAAGCATGAAAGTGGTGCCGGTATCGGAGAGGTTTCAAATTAATCGTCTCTGGCCGTGGTGTGGCCATGTAATGCGTAGAAATGAAGATAATATTGTAAAGAAGGCGTTACATATAAATGTGATGATGATGATAATGATGGTTATAAGGGCAGAGGAAGGCCGAAATAGAGATGGATAGACTATGTGAAAGATGAAATGGTAGGAAAGTAACGAGACGGCTGCTAACAGGCCTGAATGGAAGAGAATGGGAAAAGGAAGAAGCAGATTATGTGTCGTCTATGTACTAGCTGACCCCGTGATGCCATGTAATGCGTAGAAATGAAGATAATATTATAAAGAAGGCGTTACATATAAATGTGGGTGGTTATAAGGGCAGAGGAAGGCCGAAATAGAGATGGATGGACTATGTGAAAGATGAAATGGTAGGAAAGTAACGAGACGGCTGCTAACAGGCATGAATGGAAGAGAATGGGAAAAGGAAGAAGCAGATTATGTGTCGTCTATGTACTAGCTGACCCCGTGATGCCATGTAATGCGTAGAAATGAAGATAATATTATAAAGAAGGCGTTACATATAAATGTGGATGGTTATAAGGGTAGAGGAAGGCCGAAATAGAGATGGATGGACTATGTGAAAGATGAAATGGTAGGAAAGTAACGAGACGGCTGCTAACAGGCATGAATGGAAGAGAATGGGAAAAGGAAGAAGCAGATTATGTGTCGTCTATGTACTAGCTGACCCCGTCAACTCCGTTCTGCCTCAAAATTAAATATGTCAAAGGTTGAAGTTTAGTTACGCAATAAATTTCTGAACGCACGCTATTTGACAGGTATCAGCCATTTGTTTGGGAATATAAAATTGTTGTTTCTACTATTTTACAGTCAATTTCTTCAAATTTTATCACCGTTTAAACCTTCCCTAGACTTCCACGAATATTTCAAGACTAAGATTAGCCAAATCGGTTCAGCCGTTCTCGAGTTTTAGCGAGATTAACGAACAGCAATTTATTTATTCATATAGATTTTATGAGCTTAGGGAAAATACTATGTTATGGAAGCTTCTGTCTCATACCTGTTTACTCCTGATAGGGCGTACTCCTTAACACGTACCACCGTCTATGTTTTCACTTACTTTTGCACTCAGATTATAATACATTTTTTCATTACAATTAGGGACCATGCGCGGGTTTCATGGCGGTCCGTACTGTCATAGGTAAGGGAAAAAGAGGGGGACAGAAACTCACGGGCTCTAATATTGCTTATAACGGATATAGGGTACAATTTAATCATATGTATATTTATTTATTGTACAGAAAAAACGCTTGTAAAACAGGCGACCGTAATGCCGTGTGATATTCTCCCTCAGCTAACCTTACATTTTGACCGTTTGTCATACGTGAAAATCTATTACAGACATACATACATGAGAATGAATATGCACTCTTAAAAATGTTCGTATTTGTACGAGTATGCACGTACGGTTGGCATCCTTGCATGCTGGTATAAAATATCAGTATACAACTACACGGGAGCTATAAATCAATCTTTGTGTAGCGATCAAATGCTTTTATATAAAGAAACCAGAAATAAATCCTAAGCTGGTTTGTTTGTCACCTCAAAGTAAGGCAGTGTGTTAAATTAGAACGTTGATTTAGAGGTCGAAAAATTCATGAAAATTACTTATATAGGGAGAATATCCTAACAAAACAATTTTTCATTCTTTACTAACAATTAACCGCACTGTATTTGTATTTATGGTATGTACATACAAATTTATAGTAACAAAATTTTGAATGTGTTCAATAAGTAGAGTCTCTTAACTAATCTGTAGTTCTATACTAATTGTTATAAAGCGTAAAGATTAGATTTTTATATATTCATTTATTAGTAAAGGATAAATTAAAAAATATCTTTTTAAACTTTACTTTCTATAAATATTATACATATAGCATATCTTAGAGTGACATGGGTTATATTACATGTAGTAGTTATATTACACTGCGATGTGCTTCTGGTTTATTTGTATTTTGTAAAATAATAAAGGTAATTCTAGTAACAATAATTTATTTATATTAATCAACTTTGTGCAGAGAGACAACATTTAAGATTGGTAAGGCCTGGACAAAATTTTCAAGACATCTTTCCTCACTAAGATCAATATCATGTGGCTATTCTTCTCCAAAAACACCATCAATATGACTTTCAACTTCCTTCGTTGCAGAGTCGTCTATTTTATCAAATGCGTTTGGTTTGTTTTGTATTGGTGGTAGACCGGGATTGGGACCAAACCCGATCTGCCCATTACCGTTACCACTCTGTCCCTGACCGAAGCCATTTGGCCAATATCCGAAATTATGTCCATTGCCAGGATTACCGTAACCAACTTGTCCATAACCATAATTTGAGTTTGGTCTATAACCAAATGGCTGATTTTGTCCAAAATAAGTGGGACCATAAAGCTGCCCGAGCTGATATGGGCTCATGTACCAAATTGGATATGGATTGTTATTCCAAGATCCTTGTTGCCAACTACTGGTGCTTCCTTTACGAATTCCATCTGTAGGAAGGCCTGAAATAGAAATTGCGTAATTGAATTTTAATAATCATCAAACTATCATTACTTCCTAAATGTTATTAATTAATTTGTTGACAATATGACTTCTCTATATAATTTATGGACCACAACTCATTGTTTACTCTACTTGTTAATATGAAAATTTGAAAGTGCCAAATTTCAATTACCATTGAATATTTCTTGCCCTAATGCATCGTTGAACTGTTCAACAACATCTTTATTTACAGACTCGTCGCTATTTCTCCAAAAATTTGGTTTATTGCCTACAGTTTCATGACCATTTTGTAAATGATCTGGTCCAATAGGATTCCCGTGCCCAATTCCGAAGCCATTCTGTCCATGTCCGAAACTAATCTGTCCTGGTTTACCCTGATCAGCGTAGTGGTTTGGGTTATAACCAAATCCGAAAGGTTGATTTTGACCGAAAACACCAAAACTACCATAACTGTTAGGCTCTTGTCCAAAATTGGTCTGTCCTTGTCCAAAACCACCTTGTCCTTGTCCAAAGCTATTTTGACCTTGTCCGAAGCTATTTTGTCCTTGTCCGAATCCATTCTGTCCAGGTTTAAAGCCACTTTGCCCCTGCTCATAGCCGCTTTGCCAAGGCCCGGAGCTACTTGGTCCTTGACCAAAGCTTCCCTGACCGTTACCTGGGTTACTTACACTACCCTGCCCATAGCCATAGCCAGGGGGTGGTTTAGGACCAATCCAGAAAGGGTGATTTCCATAGTTGCCATAACCACCAGATCCGTCAGATTGGTCGAACTGATTTGGACTTCCGTACCAATTCTGGTAAGGATTGTTATTCCAGTTCTGATTCTGCCAACCGATGGAGTTTGGTTCATTATCCGAATCTGTTGGAAGATCTGAAATCAAATTAAATCATTATTTGCAATTTATTTATACTGCATATTATACTTGTAGTGGCATAATATTTTTTTTTGTAATGGAGTGGGATATAAGCTGATGACACATCTGGTAGTATTTTTAATAAATCCTAATAGAATGGTACACCGCCTGCGCACACGGTTTACACCGGCGGAGCACCAGTGGAGGACCATAAGATAAACCTTGGGTCAGGTAAATTAAATTAGCCAATAGTGGAAAATTTAAAAGAAATTTAGAACGATGGTTTCCAGAGGGAACCGCACGGAGGTCATCCTGACATGGTACATCGCGATAAATAGTAGTAAGTGGCAACCGTTGCTTATAGAGCTAGTTGCCTTTTCCTTATCCCATTCATTTGGGGCCAACTTAATATGTTTTACTCTTCATTCATCCCCGTTCGCAGTCATCTCGTTATTTACTCCCTTTCTTACAATACCATCTTTCGCACAGCCCACCGTTACTTATAGACTACCGTTTATTAATTCAAAAGAAATCAAAATATAAATAATCCGTAACTTACGAACGTTTTTGACGTTTAAAAAAACATTATTCTATTACTTTTAGATACGTTTGTACCTAAAAATAATATTTTCTTACATTTATGAAATACATACATGGTATTTCAAGCGTGCTTACCGTTACTGTAGCATCCCACAGCAATTGTCAACAATAAACATCCGGTCTGAAAACAAAATTACGAAGCATTGTAAACAATGTATTAGCAATGTAAGTGAATTATGTGCCACAAAAACCTCAATATTAATAATACTAAAATGTAAATGGAAAAAGCATAAACTTCAGAAATATCAAAAGTAATCATATAAATACAATTATATATTCACTCAGATAGTGTAGCGTAAACTCATAAAATTAGAATAGAATAGAGTTTTATTGACTCGTCTTGACACAATAATCTTTACATAGTATAAAAATAATTATATATATATATAAAAATTTTACGTTCATAAGCGGCTAAAATCATTACATAGTATAAAGTCGCTGTCGCTGTCTCTCCGTCCCTATGTACATATGCTTTAATCTTTAAAACTACACTTTTTGAAGCGTTTTGACGGACTTTGAAGCGTTTTTTTAAATAGATAGAGTGATTCAAGAGGAAGGTTTATATATATAATAACCTGCGCGAAACCGAGGCGAGTTAGTAATGAGATAAAAAATACAAGAAACAATTTACAGACATTACGAAACAGGGTCAATGTAGACCACAACTAAGCATAATTCTAAAACCATAGTTTCCATAGATTTAAAAATTAATTGTTTACGAAAAAGTGACGTCAATTTTGAGAAAGAGATTATTAAAATAAAAAAGTGTATTTCTGTAAAGGTACAGTATATTTTTCTTTAAAATAACGGATATCAAATTCTAATAAAATGTTATTAAAATTTGAACCTTAACTTAACCTATTAGAATTTGAAGAATTTAAACACCACCTATTGATACTTCCATGGTAAATATATACAATCATCTAAACTGATTCACATTGGGAAGATATCCCATAACATAATTATAAAACAGTAATTCACTAACTACACTCAATTAAAAAAAACTTTATATTGAACACAATTAATTAAATCCAACATTAAAATAAGACTAATAAGAATCGGTTAACAATTAGTTATGATATCGCTCTTTCACACATATAAAAATAACTGTCATTTTTAAAATCAATAAATTCTTTATATTGACCACAATAAAATAAATCCAATATTAGAATAAGACTAATAAAAATCGGTTAACAATTAGTTATGATATCTCTCTTTTACACATACACATATATAACAATAACTGTCATTTTGAAATTCACTTAATTTTTGTTTAAATTCTATTGAACATTGATTAAAATAATCATATCAGAAGACTCACTTTGAAACTCATGTTAAGATGTTAACGGTAGATAATCCTGTTGTTTACTACTCGCAAATTTATAAAAATATCGTATTTTATAGACATATGACTTATCATGAAGATCTAGATAAATCCTCTCAGTTGTTTGGGTCGTTTTTAATCTAAATATCGATCAATCAAATCGAATCATATCGGAATTTCCGCTGCGTGTAGAGATAATTTTATAACTGACTACCTAAAATGAACTTCTTGTCGTATGTTAGGAATTGTTTAGTTTGTCTTTAAAACGTTTAAATATTATTTTTATTCCCCAATACATTTTCTATTATTTCCACTAGGAATATAATAATATATAATATATTTTACAATTTTTGTTGGTCTGTTTGTTCCGGCTAATCTCTGAAATGGCAGGACCTATTTTGACGGGACTTTTTTTGGCAGGTAGCTGATGTAATAAGGAGTAACTTAGGCTCATTTTAGTATTAGAAAAATTCTTTTATTTTAGAAAAGTAAGTTTTATTGTAGTAAAGTTAAATTCCACGCGGACGAAGTCGCGTGTACAGTATATGCAATGTCATGGTCGGTAAAATATAGGAAATTCCAGCTGCGTGTCAGCAGATAATTTTGGAAAGTATCAAGAGGTCAGATTAAGAATTCGTTTCCTTTTCTCTAAATAAATTCGCTTTTCACAATCGTTACTTGTCTGATAACGTCAATAACACGAGAGACGACAGATTATACAATGAGTCATAGCTTGGTGTGGGCACAGATAAGATAATATTATTTAGTGTCGGTAACGCCAAGAAATCTCAGTCACCTTAATATTATAAGTATAATAATAATAATAATCTCAGGACAATTCACACAGCGCCATCTAGACCCAAGTTAAGCTAGCTAAAGCTTCTGTTACTAGATAACTGATACAAGTACATAGATTTTTTTTTTTCATAAATAGATTCACATTATACATAGAAAACACCCAGACCGATACTAACAATCATACTCATAAATACAAATATTTGTGCCGTGCGAGGAATCGAACCCGCGACAACGGTTGCGGTTAAAGCGGTGTGCTAGATGTGCTAGACCGCTAGACCACCGAGGTCGTCAAGTATATATATTAATTTGACGGAACATCTAGTATATATGTATATGTAGGTCCGGGGATTCGAAATAATAGAATTTCTACGCGTTACATATAATACATGTACACCCGTCCAAAGCCGGGGCGAGTAGCTAGTTATATACAAAAATAAATTCGTCCAAAAATTAAAAAATAAATTTTAGGGGTGGACAACCCTTGTCACTTAGGGGTATGAAAAATAGATAGCAGCCGATTCTCAGACCTGCTGAATATGCATATAAAATTTCATAAAAATCGGTCAATCATTTCGGAGTATGGTAACCAACATTGTGACACGAGAATTTTGTATATAAGAATAGGTATATATGTATAAATATATTCGATATTTATGTATAGGACATCAATATCGAATTATATAGTATTAGCGGTATGATTATATAAAAAAAATTGTGGTCAGAAGTACAATAATTTAGAAGAATGTCTGCAGAAGAAGCCATTTTTGTAGTTAGTTTTTCCCGCGCAAACGCACCACGCCACAGATCCACAATTGAAAGGCGCGCAGCCGCAGTAGGATGACGATCGCGTCATGGCAGTATGTGCGATGTTAATAATATGAGTATTAACACATAGTACGTTAAAATTTATTAATATTTTGGCAAATACCCGTGCGAATCCGTGGCGGGCCGCTAGTGTTTATATATTAAAAAGACATTACATTTTCTTTACTTTGAAAACTTTAATTAATGAATCTTTAGATTAAAATTGATTGTTTTTCAGACAAATCTTATATATAAAATTCTCGTGTCACAGTTTTTGTTCCCATACTCCTCCGAAACGGCTTGACCGATTCTCATGAAATTTTGTGAGCGTATTGAGTAGGTCTGAGAATCGGCCAACATCTATTTTTCATCCCCCTTAATGTTAGGAGTAGTCCACCCCTAATTTTTTATTTTATTTTAAGGCAAGACAACGTTTGGACAGCTAGTTTTTATATATTTATATATATTATATATAGCACCGACTTTGCACATGTGTAATACATATAAACCTTTCTCAGGAACCACTCTATCTATTGCTAAAAACTGCATTAAAGCCGTTGCGTAGATGAAAAGATTAAAACGAACAGACTGTGAAGCGACTTTATTTTATTATACGTAAAGAAAATATTGTAAGCCTCCAGCAAGGTGGACCGACGATCTGGTCAAGATCGGAAGGCGATGGATGCGAGAAGCGCAGGACCGATCGTCGTGGAGATTTTGGGGGAGGCCTTTGTCCAGCAGCGGACGTCTTCCAGGCTGAGGTGATGATGATGAAAGAAGATATTCTCTTATTTGTGGTATAAATAGTAAGTTAAATATATATTTTTATTATTAGAGGACTGTATTTCGTATTCCGTTGTGACCTTTTATGCAATGTTTATTATTGTAATGTAATAAATATTCGTAATTTTCCCACTTGTAATAATTTTGATCATTAATAATAACGCAAATTTGTGTAACATAAAATAATATTTATCGCCATAATTCTTGGAATAATTAATAACTTTCGCTTCATTAAAACTTTGTGAATTTAATTTTAGTTTCCACTAAATGACACAGACAGGTAATGTCTCGAAATATAAAAAGAGATTTTAAAATAATCTCCTTACATTTTAAAAATAGTATTTGAAGAATTAATTGGTTTTAAATTAATAACATTACGGACTATTTATACACCCGTTATTGCCTCAAAAATATACTTTATCTTTCAAGATGAATCTTATTTTAATATTATAAACCCGAAAGTTTGTGACTATGGATGTATATTTGTTACTCTGTCACGCAAAAACTACTGAACGGATTTTGATGAAAACACAGATAACATAATATTATTATTACATAATGTAACTTTACAGTAATATAGCTTATAGATCAGAATAGCATATAAGCTATACATTTCGCTCGAGTCAATCCGCGGGCACAGCTAGTGTGTAGTAAATTGGAATTAAAATTACATGGCAATGTGGCATACCATCTTAGACCACCGGAATGGCATCCGTGGTACTGTTCATGAATAGGGTTCCCAGGTCGCCAAACTTAATAGCCGTATAGACCAACCAGATTGGCCGGACGTGTGGGTAAAAAGGCCGGTACATTATTGAGGATTTTGTGTCCCAGTATTAATAAGTACAACAAAAAAAATATGTAAAATCAAGCTTTTTTTAATTACCAGCTGTTACTTCAAAAATAAAAAAAAAAGTGAAAAAGTACCATCTTTACAAAATAAACTTCTTCTCTTTAAGTTAAACATTAAAAATAATGATTTGTTTTACAATAAAAATAATGTAAAAATCTTAATAAAAGCCGGACACAGTGTATTTTGGCCGGACACGTAATCAAAATGCCTAATTATGTGCGGCTTTATCCGGACGCCTGGCGACTATTCTTGTATATGGCGACGGTTGCCACTTACCGTCTCAGAAGAGCCGTTAGCTTGCTTGCCATTCTAAGTAAATAAGTCTTTACCACGTGTCATATTATGTATAAAAAAACGATCTAAAATAATATTGGAAAAGCAATTGTGCGCGATTCATTTGTTCCCGTAATAAAAGCAATATTAATCGAGGCCTTACCTAATTGAATTTTGAATAACCAAAGCCTGTATAATGTAATTATATAGGTATATAAATATTTAATCTCTAGGAAGTGAACAGATCGTAATTTAAAGAGAAGCATACTGAAATGCTTCAGGGCTCTTCAGAATGGAATTTTCTCGAAATTAAAGTTGTATCTTGTGGAGTATTGGAGTTTTGGATATTCGTTAAGGTATGGGTAATATCGGATATAGACTGTATTGATTTGTATTTATGTATCAGTTTTGAATACCAGATAATGAAACTCTATATAATGTATACTTCAATGTCTCGAGAATTATAATATTCAATATTATAATGTATTACGCTGACTCTAGATGAACTGGATAAAGAAGAAGCAGATGATGACTACAATGTACTCTGTTTTTATACTACTATGGTGGCAAACAAGCACATGGTCCATTTGATGGTAAATGGTTACCGTAGCCTATGAATGCCTGAGACGGAGGTTACGAGCGTGTTGCCAATCTTTGCTGTAGTATTGTAAGAAAACCTCAGCAGGTAATTCATTCCACAGTCAAAGTGTACTATATGAGGCCACTTGGGTTCTAGCGTGTAGGGATAAATTCCCTGTTGACCATGGCGAGCGGTGTGATGGTCAAAGGTAGCCGTAGGCATCATGTCCAACAATTCCTCAGAACATAGTCCGTTGTATATTCGGTAGAACACACAAAGCGAAGCGAAGTCTCCCCTCAAGCTAAGTAGTTCGATGCAGCCAGGGAGATCGGGATCATCGACAATTCTCATAGCACGTCTCTGAAGCGAGTCAAAAGGACCGAGCTGGTATCCAGGTGCTCCTGTCCAAAGATGGAAGCAATACTCCATGTGCGACCAAACCTGTGACTTATGTAAGCGGAGTCCCTGGTCCCCATTGAAGTACCGCTTCGCTCTATTGAGCACACCGAACTATTTGGATGCGAGCTTCACCTTTTCTTCGAGCTGACTACGAAACTCAACTTTGCTAGAGATACCGAGATTCCTAATAGTCTTAAAGATGATAACGGACGTGTTCTGAAATTTCGGAGCCACAGCAAAAGAGGTTTTCGGAGAAATTAACGCGGAAAGCTTGTGTACCGAGACACAAGGGTTGAATTGAACTAATTTCAATCGCCCCCATTCGGAGACTCTGGTAAGGGTACTCTCGATTTCAGACACAAGCGCTACAAGCCCTCCACAACGGAAAAAGGAACATTACACAGTGTCAAAACGTGTCCGGCTGTTATCCATTCTAGTTTCGTAACTCAATCAATTGCATACCACTTAATATCGCGTACCACTCGATATCTCGATACTGGATATCCGATATATAGATATTGTATTGTATACGATTTTCATCGCCTCAGCCTATATTCGTTAAGTTTAATTTGGCGGTGTGGTTTGTTTACTTTTCTCTCAAATACTGTTTGCATTGTCTCGGTAACTCACAAACGGTTTTGTCCAAGTTGATACAAGTTTGGTAGCGTACTTTAATCAAGTCTATAGCTGTATTCAACGGGATTGTCGTGTGGTCTAGGTAACAAATAATAATTTGGTTTTTTTTTTAATAGAATCATTTTCCTATTTAGTGACAGCTTTTTTTGTCATTTCCAATTACAATTGTAATGGTAAACAAGCTGAAGATCGCCAATAGATATACAGAATATAATTTATTTTGTATCTATCTCTTTTTTCTATTTTTCTATCTATTCTTTCACTGTGTAATATACAGTGAAAAAAAAAGATATATAGTATATTAAAGAGGTTATGCATAATCGTAATAAGGCGGCCTTATCGCTGAAAGAAACCTTTTCAAGGCAATCTTAGGGAACCGGATTTATATATCCACTATCTGTGCCCGCAACAAAATTAGAGTCGTGTCGTAACAATATTTAAAGAGCATGATGGAAGGTCGTGGAAAGTAGCAATTATATAAGATCTAGTACTAAAAAACTGACTGACCCGGCAAACGTTGTTACCATATAAATTAATCAGTTATCGACCATAGATTAGAAAATTATTAAAGTTAATTTTTGTCTCTGGATAATTAATACATCTAGTCCCACGGTAATCAGAGCTTTTGTTATGGGTGCTAGACAACTTATAAAAATACATAAATATCTTTTTTCTTTTAAATACATACATAGTATACATAGAAAACACCCAGACCGATACAAACATTCATACTCATGAATATATGTATATGTTTTTCACCGTTCGAGAAATCGAACCGGCGACCCTCGATACTAAAGTGCTGTGCTAAACCGCTAGACCACTGGCGCCGTCAAAATATATGGGTTGATGGTAAAAGAGTGAAAATTTAGGGTTATGTATATTTTTTAAAGTAAATCATAAAAAAAATTGTTTTCAAAAAATAAATAATATATTTCGGTGTGAACTACCCTTATCACTTAAGGGTATGAAAAATTGTTTACGTCCTATTCTCAAACGCACTAAAAATTAAATTGATTAAAAAAAATTAAGTGAAAGGATAACAGACAGCCAGCACTTTTGCATTTATAATATTAGTATCGTGGGGGGAAGGGGATTGTTAGCAATGTACCATGTTAGGTCGACCTCCACGCGGTTCCCCCTGGAAACCATCGTGGTTAATTCCTGGTTATTTAATCACGATGAGCAAACTGGCCTGACCTCATGCTCATCTTGTCCTCCACTAGTGCTCAGCCAGCGTAAACCGTTAGCGCAGGCGGGTGCACCATTCCATTATCATCCCTTAAAAAATATATTAATATGCATGATTTCCCAATTGCGTAGGTGGATATGTTGATGTTTAATCTATATAGGTACAGACACATCCTTTGTTTATTATTTCAGTTTGTCAGTTAGGAGTAATTGGTTAATATTAGATCAAAATTAGGCCAAGCATCCTAAAGTATTGTTTATCCGACGTTTGTTTATAATAGCGTGGGCTGTATGTATTTTAAGCACAGAAATCGAATAAATAATTATGTTTACTGTGTACTATTGTAACCACTATCTATATAAAACTGCTCTGTAGAAACATTCCATCTAAACATATCTCGTATAACCGCGAAAAATTGTAAGTATGGATGTTTGTTACTCTTTCACGCAAAAATTACTAAACGGATTTTGATGAAACTTTACAGTAATATAGCTTGTACGTCAGAATAACATATAGGCTATAAATTTCACGCGGGTGAGGAAGCGGGTACTGTTAGTCTTACATATAAAATTCCCGTCTTAGTTATAGGTCTCCGAAATGGCTTTATTTATTTTGATGAAATTAAGTATATATGTATACTCGGTAGATCTGAGAATAGGTTGTATTCTACTTTTTATACCCTTAAATGAAATTGGCTTCACAATTTTTTTTTAATAGTTGGAAAATATTTTTATTTTATATATTTTTATGATGTAGCATTATTAAAAAAAACATATATAAACTCCTAAATGAAACGAACGAATGCCAACCAAAACTTTCACGTCAAAACTGGACCAATTTAAATGAAATTTAGTATACAGATAGTCTAGAGACTTAGAAAAGACATAGGCTACTTTTTAATGTGAAAAAAGGGTTGTTAGAGGCTGAAAGGGGAGATGAAAGGTATAATTTGTTTAATTTTTAGGGTGTAGATTAAATAAATATGACATTCAAAGTTTGTAAAAATTTTACCCTTAAGTGAGGATGAAAGGAAATTCGTTATTTTTGAAGCTAGAACGACGAGACTTTTTCTTTGGATTTTGTTTTATTTCATCAACATCACTATTCCACACAGATATTATGTATATAAACAAAAAAAACAACTTTATTTTAAAGCGCATTAAAATTGTAAAAGTATATTCTTTCTTTTAATACCTAATGTTGTACCCAGGCAATTATATTACGAATCATATGTCCCTCATAAATAGACTAGAAATATTTGGAGTGACATTTTCAAAACTGAAACGGATGGTAATCTGCTTAGGACCACAAGTAGGTACGTTGCGAATACAATTTCATGTAAGAAGCGTTGGTTATTCATTTTAACATTCATATACGGAATTTCTACTGTATAAAGGGAATTATATAAAATATTACGCTTTTCGCAATATCCTACGTTACATATATAATTTATATATAATGTATTATATAATAAAATTCGAATGTTATGAGGAGGCGGAAATTGTCAAATAGAAATAAGGTTTATTCAAATAAACTTTATATAAGCACTTTCAAATAGTCATATTTTTTTATTCTACTACTCATCCGGAATGCAGACTTATCACAAAAAGATCGAGTAAGAAACTTGCGTGTTGCTCTTTTAAATTTATTATTCAGAATTTTATTTTTCTGATTGTTATGTGAAGACAATTGCCAAATAGTATAGTTGACATAAATTAATTAATTACTTGAGTAACAAAATAAATCATTCATAGTTATCAGAGCAGACCAGTCCCTAGAAATAGCATCCGTTCACGAGTATAACGGTTGAGACACCAGACCACAGACAAAATATGATTGTTGGACGAATTTACATGCAATTTTATTCCTTGAAATGTGAACTACGCCTGTAGCTGAAGTATTGTAAAATATTCGAAAAATAAGAAAGAAGAAAGTGTAGAAAGCTCTACAATTTACAACACCGAAAAGCGATCAAATTAAAATTAATATAAATTCCAATATATGAATGGGACAAAAGTCAAACCTTAGCGCATTTAAATTTTTTTCTAGCGCCATCTATGAACATGAAAAATAAACCTAGTAATTTAAACACCAGGTGTTTTTTATGGGATGTTAATTGAATAATAGACCTGCCTGCGCTAACGGTGTACGAGGATGACAAGATGAGTAAATTTTTTTTAGAGGACGATAATGGAATGGTGTATCCGTCTGTGCTAACAGACACGCTGGCCGAGCACCAGTGGAGGATGATAGGATGAACATGAAGTCAGATTAGTTAGCCCAACGTGACAAATTCACCGGGAATTTATCACGATGGTTTCCAGGGAGAACCGAGTGGAGGTCGACAGGACATGATACATTGCTGGTATTGTGATCATTAGTCCACATTACTAACAATTCCCATCCCCCGATAGGAGTAGGTCAGGTCAGTTAGCCTATCGTGGCATATTCACGAGGATTTCATCATGATAGTTTGCTGGGGGAACTACTTGGAGGTCAACCTGAAATTTTTTTAGGGTTGTAATAGTATTTGCTATTGAAGGTTTATTAAT